GCCCCGACGGGCGGGCGCGCGGCTCGGGCACTGGCCCTTCTCCCCAACACCCCGTGCCACAATTCACAGCGTCACCATGTCCTCGGTGTTCGGAAAACCCCGCGCGGGCAGCGGGCCACAGAGCGCGCCCCCCGAAGTCAACTTGGCCATCCTGGGGCGCCGCGGGGCGGGCAAGTCTGGTGAGTGGGGTTGGGGACAGAGGAGGCCAAGGGGCCAGGCAGCACCCTAGAAGGGGAAAGCGGATGGAGGAAACAGGTTGCTGTCGGCTGGGAGTGGTTCCTTGCACTGGCGTTGGGCCTTCTGCCTCCAGGTGAATTGGATGAGACACTGTGTTTGCCTGTTTTGCCTCAGTTTCTCTGCCGCTGGGTTATCTCCGCTTTGTTGGGCGCGCCTCCACCTCTGTTTTCTGCCTTTTCCCTGCCTTACCTTCCAGGGCGCCTCCACTCTGCCCTCCCTGCTGTGACCCCTGCCCGTCTCTCCTCCTGTGTCTCCCTTTGTCCTCACTTCTCTGCCTTCCCTCCCTCACCGCCTCCAACTCCTCTCGCTGCCGCTGGCGCCCAGATGACCTGCACCATAAGGATCCGTTAGGTGGCTGGTCCCAGCTATGTTGCTGCGGAGTGAAGGCAGACCCCCTTGGCCACTAAAGGGTGAAGGTAGAAGACACTGGATATTGCGATTTCCTGGAGAGGTGCCACTCCCCCACTCCACACTCCAATTCCTTAGGGTCCTGGAACAAACTGTGCATTGTTATCAAATGCATGTCTCTCAAGCTAGAGACCCCTCCCCCGACTTTCTGGAAACACAGGTGCCTGGGACTTGTCCTTGATGAATCAAGATCTGTTGGAATAATTTGTCAGCCTTGAACCCTATCACCACTCCTGACAGCTTCTCATTCAACCAGAGACTGGATGGGGATGCTGTTAGGTCACTGTAGACAGGGAACACAGTAAGAGACTTCTCCCTGAACTTCTAGTCTGAGGCTCACTTAACTTTCTCTCATTGCAGTTGAAAAACAGGCTCATAGTGACTTGTAGCTAACCCTCTAGCAGATTGTCAGATGTTGCATGGGAGGAGATTGCCCATCTTTCTCCCAAAGAGCTGCTGGTGGATTGGACCTGCCTGGCACTGCTCCTTTTCCATGTAGAACCATTTGTGCAAGTCCACCATGGGCTCCCTTAACTGTGGAATGTCTTCCCCAGAATGTTTTCTGAGACTCACTGGAAAACTACCGTCTTTCCCACATTTGAAGCTCATCTCCTCACTCAGGGAAGAGACTGTGATTATGGTTTTCCTACAGCAGATATTTGATCTCTTACCTTTGAAAATCAGATTATTGTCAAATACTCAGTGGTACAATTTGGCCAGTGACCACATGAATGAAGGAATTTAAAGTTTAAAATATGTATTCCCTGGGTATTGGTTTGCAAACGGACACGGTTAGGGGTCCTGGGAAAGAATTTTAAAGATTTTCTTTAGAAGATCACATTACTCTTTTGAGGCCACTATAATAGTTGGCTTTATGCTGCTAAATTCAGAGGGGGTGGGAATCAGAGTTTTATTAATGCATCTCATCTGCAAAGGACATCATTCTTAAAGCTCACCGTACTGCCAAGATGCTCATGAGATGTGGGAAAGCCCTGGGATGAGCCAGGGCTTGAGGCGTGAGTTTTGGAGACTAGAGTAGGTTTACTGGGGACATAGATCTCACCTGGACTCTGCCTGGAAATCCTGGGCACTTGGAGCCTCAGACTTCAAGGATTACTCACCCATCCACCAGCCTCTTGTTCTCTCTTTGGCTTGTAGCCAAAGCTGGAATAAATTCCCAGTGCTTCAGCATTCTTTGTCCAGATTTGAGGATGTCATACTTTGGGGCTTTCACTGCAGATAACTGCATATCTGACACCTTAGTTTTGGACTTAACAGACAGCCCCTAGATTTGCATCTTGTTGCATTTCTCTTTGCTTCTCTTTCTCTCTCCTCCCCCTCCTCCGCGCCCCCCCCCCCCCCCCACCAGGGAGCGACTGGAGAGACTTGAGTCCCATATTCCTGTTTTCTTTCTCTCTAGCCAACTCCCAGCAGTCACAAAGGTTAGATAAGTTCTCCTTAAAGATGAGGGGATGGGGACGGGCAGTAGCCAGACATGGCAGCAGGGACTGAGCCAATCTCTTTTTGCTTCTTACAGCCCTGACTGTGAAATTTCTGACCAAGAGGTTTATCAATGAATATGACCCCAACTTGGGTAAGGACCCCTCCTCAATCCTGCCACCTCTCTGCCTGCCATAAATCCCTGATATCTACTCTGTGGGTGGGCTTGGGCTTGTCCACTTGGAGAGGAGAGAGGGGGCGCAGTAGGGAGGAAACACCAAGATGATTCATCCTTTGGGGAAAATGTTTTAACTCTCAGAAAAATTCATCCTTCCACAGACCACCCCACACATATTGGGGGTTAGCCCAGTTAGGAGTACCAAGAGAGGCCTGTTTGCCCTAAAATTGAAGGACTTACAAGAGTGTTTAAAAAAAGAAAGATAATTTAATATAGCAAAATATCTATATCTAGTTGTGTTGTTGTTGTTATGTGCTGTCGAGTCGCTTGCGACTCATAGCGACCCTATGTACAACAGCCCTAAACTCTGCTCTGTCCTGTGTCTCCGACACACCCACCCTGATTACCCCTGTCACTGAATCAATCCACCTCCTAGAGGACCTTCCCCTAGCGGACCTGCCCTCTACCCTCCCAAGCATGATGTCCTTCTCCAAGGACCGGTCCCTCCTGACAACATGTCCAAAGTATGTCAGATGAAGCCTCAGAATCCTTGCCTCCAAGAAGCAGTTAGGTTTTGTTTTTTTAAATTGTGATTTCAACAAAAGTTTACAGAAAAGTTGGATTTTCATTCATTCGTTGTTGCATATTTTCCTCCCTTCCCCTGCTCCCAGTTCACTTTCTTTTTTTTTTTAATATTCACTGATTGTTTCACAATTTCCTCCCTCCTTCTCCCTTCCCCCCTCCCCCAGTCCACTTTGCAATGTACCTCTTAGTCTGGACTGTTGTCATACATATAATGCCTAATCATACATTCCTTTTAAACAGTTCTTTCCCTCATCTGTTCCAATGCAGCGCTCATTATCTATCCATGCTCTTCCTGGTTTCCCCCCAGTCCCCGCGTTCAATTTTGTTTTATAATAATGAAATTATGCAGTATTTGTTCTTTTATGACAGAGCTATTTCATTCAGTATAATGTCTTACAGGATCTCCCATGTTGTAGAATGTTTTACGAGTATACTATTGTTGTTGGGGTTTTGTTTGTGCTGCATAATATTCCCTTGTGTGACTATAGCATAGTTTTTTTTATCCATTCATTCATTGATGGGCACTTACTTGGGTTGCGTCTATTTCTTTGCTATTGTTAATAAACAAAATATGACCTTGAGTCTATCCCACCTGAATTTCAGAACCATCTCAGGAACAGATTTGAGGCTTTGAACACTAATGAACGAAGGCCAGGTGAGTTGTGGGAGGATGTCAAGGGTATCATCCAGGAAGAGTGCAAA